GGATGCCCTCTTCCCCACCACGGGGGGGCGAGCTCTGCCTGGCCCTGTACCGAAGCAAGAAGCTGCACGGAAAGACGAAGAAGGACGCCGGCCGCAACAGAAGAAGCCAAAGCGAAAGCCAAAGGGGCATCTGGTGGCCGGCCCTGCGGTTTYCCTCGATCGKGGWATTCYWGRACGAAACCCAGGGGCAGTGGAGCCCGGGGGACTCGGACCAGAAKGMCCGCCACAAGCTGGTCCGGAGGGCCCTGAGGGAGGCCGTCCGAGGGGAATCCATCGAGACGGTCCTGTACCTGGGCCGGCCCCCCTCGGACTWTTGCGCGGCCGACGAGGCGGCCCGCAGGGGCGTGGAGGTCCGGGACCTCTCGGAGGGCCTCCTGGCGCTCACCAGGCAGGCCCGGTCCCCCCTGTTTCCCAAAAGGTTTGCCCGGGGGGGACCGGGCGGGGGGGGAGAGCCCTGCCGCGAGCTCTTTCGGAGCTTCTACGAGGGCATGGACCGGGCCATGGCGAGGATCGATGCCGATGCTTGCGGGGACAGCAGCGATTCCGACAGCGACAGCGATTCCGAGAGCGGCGAGAAGCGCTCCTGGGCCAGCCAGGGCCGGGCGATCTGGGAGGACTACCACAAGGGAGGCTCCMGACTCCGGGCCGGAGACCCACCGCGAGAAGAGCAAGAGCGAGACGATCCACAAGATCTAGAAGACCCACAAGACCATCGGGARCACCACTTACAAGAACACGAGGCACAAGGCAAGCAAGAACGCATGCAAGCACAAGCCCAAGAACACGAGCAAGAACATGCACATGATCAAGAACAAGCACATGATCGAGAACACATGCATGAACAAGAACAAGAAGACGAAGACGAAGGAGATGCCTCCGATCCGCACAACCCAAACAACATTGACAACAACAACATCAACCACCACCACCAACGACAGCACCACGACGACCAGTCCGTCTCGGCCCACAGCGCCGCCGCCGTTTCCTACACGGAGGCCTCTCTGATGAGCCGGACCGAGACGCACGCCCAGGCGCAGGAGGTCTCGATGCCCTCTCCCCCGTCCGGYCTGGAATACGAGTCCGTCCTCGAATCGGACAAGCACGACTTTGACCGCATCTGGCACAAGCACCAGATGGAGGGCTGGGACCGATTCCTGGAGGAGGACGCCGGGGACGGAGGAGACTCGATGGTCTACACGGCACCCAACGGCTACCGCTTCGGCTCGCACGGGGCCTTTGTGCGCTACCTGGAAGACACCTACGGCTATTGCGGGGAGGGATCGGGATGTCGGTCTCGATCTCCGTCTCGCCGGGGCCGCTCCCCCTCCCGGGCCGAAACCAAACGCGSCGGAACCAAGCGCGCCGGAAGCAGGGGCCGATCGGCCTCTCGCTCCCGTTCCCGGTCCCTCGATTCCCGCGACGCCGGGTGGACCGACCTCTGGCTCTACCTGCGGAACACCCTCGGCTGGACCTACGAGTACCCCACCCGCGAGGACGCCAAGAAGCACGGGATGGGCACGACGGCCATCTGGTTCCGCCCCGGCTTTGGCGCCAAGCACCGGGGCCGTCTGGGGAGGGACCACTTTGCCCGCGAGGAGGCCGTCGCGGACTACTGCAGGAAGCACGGCATAGTCGTGCCGGGGCAGGGGGCCGGGCCAGACGAGCCCCACGAGCAACACGAACCCCACAACAAGCACGGCAACCGCCACGACCACAAAAACTACCAACACCAACACGAACACCAACACGAACAACAACACGAACAACAACACGAATACGACGACGACGACGACGACGGATACACCACCCCCGACGACCAGTCGACGGTCCCCCAGGACCCCGGAAAGCCACGGCTCGCCTCCCCCCAGGACCCTCCCTGCCCCGGCGATTCGGGCCGGTCGGGGGGAAGCTCCCACAGCGAGGACGACCCGGACCGGTACGTATTTCCGGTCCTCTGGGACCGACTCACCAGCAAGGGCTGGTCCTGGTGCAAGGCCCGGAACCACCTGGACGACTACTGGTACGTMCGGACCGCGTCCATCCGGCCCGTTTCGGAGTGGATCCGGGGGACGGACTACTTTGTCACCGAGGAGGAGGTCGTTGCCTTTTGCAAGAAGCGGGACGACCTCTCCAGGAAGGAAAGGGAGGCCCGGAGGAGGAACCAGCTCTTGGGGGAGCAGTCCACCAGCAAGAGCAAGAGCAACAAGAAAAAGAACAAGAGCAGCAGCAGCAGCAGCAGCAGCAATATCAACAAGAACAAGAAAGACCAAGCACCTGCAGCATCTGGTGCTAAGTCTGCGGCTGCCGGTAGGAAGCGGAAAACCGCCGGCCGGAAGCCGAAAAAGCCCTCCAAAAGGCCGAAACAGCGGACCGACAACCATCTCCCCACCCTCGCCTCCTGCGAGGACGCCAACCTCCGGGTCGATTACACCAGCAAGCGCTACGCAAGGACCCCCCCCTGGGTGGCCAATCCACCGGTGTACAAGCACGCGCTCTGTCTCAACGCCACGGGCATGCACTATTGCGGCGGGTACTACCTGCCGGCGGGGGAACAGGGCAAGAACCGCAAGAACGCGGTCCGCTTCGCGAGCGTCGAGGAGTGCGCTTCCTACTTTGCCCGCAACCCGGGCGAGCTGGCCTGGAAGGCGAGGRCCGACGGCGACGGCGAGCCCTCCACCCCCGAAGAGAAGGCCTTTGACCGGCTGGTCCGCTACGCCCTCGTTCCCGGCCTGCAGTCGACCTGGTCCACCATCCGGCCGATCAGCCGCTCCGAGACGGCCTTTCTGCTGACCAGGCTCGGATACCAGCGGCAGCAGCAGCAGCAACAACAACAACCACAACAGGTTCTCGCCGCGAGCCGCGGCGGCGACCGGTGGGAGCCCCCGGCGGCCCTCGTCTGCGAGGGGATCCTCGAAGCCTCSTACGGGTCCCTAGAGGCCCTCTGCGAAGCCCTCCGGTCCGTCGAGGGGGACCTGCGGAACCCCCCGGGACACAACCACAGGCGGCGCAGGGCCCGGACCGGAGAAGACGGCGCCACGACGGACCTACAGTTCAAGGCCCTCCGCCTGCGYATCGCCGAGGGATTCTCCGAGGCCGACGACGAGCTCGAGGACGAGTCCGAGGCCGAGTTTGACGACGAGCCAGAAGACCTTGCGGACGACAAAGCTCCAGGCGGGGGGGCTGGCCCYTCCTCCCCCACCGGCGGCGGCACCGACAAGGGAAACGATGGGAATCTTCCCCGCCCGGCGTCCGCGAGACCGCAGGCCGGGAACGGCCCTTCCGGTGGGGCCTCGAGCCAMCCGGAAGCCGGCGACCTKRCCTCCAAAAAGAGAAAGTGGGCCCCGGCAAGTGACGAGACCAAGAGCGAAGCCGAAACGGACGAAGAGAGCAGTCGCGACGAAAGCGAATCTGAAAGCGACGACGAAAGCGACGACGAAAGCGATGACGAAAGCAACGACGAAAGCATCGATGAAGAAAGCAATCACGAAAGCATCGATGAAGAAAGTGAGGCCGAAAGCGCAGCCAAAAGCACCGACCAAAGCATTGACCAAAGCAATGGCCACGTATCGATGACGGAGGGTTTTGGAGACGATTCGGACGAAGCGCTCGCCCTGAGCCCTTCCAAGATCAAGGTCGGTAGCTACCGAAAGAATCCCCACGACAACACCGCACCCTGGGCCACGAATCCACCCCGTGCCAAAAGTTGGACCAAACTCTATCAAAAGATGGGCTTTGCGTTTAAAAATTCGGTTTATCACCTKCCGGACGAATCGCACTCAAAACACACGGAACGCTTTCCGAGCATCGAAGAACTCAGGATCTACTTGTGCACCAAGGGGAACTGGCACCAGTACCTCCAGCGACTGGACACCGMCGGCGAACGAAATCTCGTAGCGCGGCACATCCGTTACKCCCACGTTCCCGGAAACCACCACGAKTGGCGCCGGCTCCGGCAGCTCGAGATCGACGAAATCATTCTCTTCCTGACCCTCCTCGGCTTTGAGAAGTCCGGGAARTTTGATTGGTGGGGGATACCGGACGGGGTTCCACAGGTCGGGGGCACGGCCTATCCAACCCTGTCGGCACTCGGCAACGCCCTCGTGCGGGTTCCAGACCTCGAGGATCGGACGATGGGCATGAGCTACCGCAGGCGATCCCGAATCACCGACGACGAAAAGGTCCTGAACGACTACCAGATGATGGCCCTGCGCCTCGCGATCGCGGAGGGTCTCCCCGACGAGGATATCCCCCGTGGAGGGGGCGAGGAAAAAGACGAGGCCCGGACCAGCAACGAGACTKCAGTGGGTGTTTCCGATGAACCCTTGATWGATTTTTCGAGTGACGCCGTGGAACGGTTGATCGAGGAGACGATAAACCCACCGAAAATCTGGAGATTGCTTCAAACGCTGGGATGCTCCTGGTCGGGCRCCAACTTCTACATCCGTGGACTCAAGCGAGTCTTCTATGTCCAGAACGAGATGATCGACTTTCTGCTGAAGCACGGCGTCGGCGTYCTGGACTGGGATSGYTGCACCCTGGACGAAGCCGGCGTCGCATCCGTCGTCCGTTACCTCAAGGCCTTCTACATCCGCGGCTGCAGCCTGTCGSTCGTCGAGGAAGCCCTCGCGATGGTMACGAAGACCACCGTRCGGCGGTGCCTGGAATCTCTCGGAATCCACGAAGAAGACGGGGCGTACCGCATCGATTCCGAGGAGCTCACCGAATCCGACGTCGTCAACGCGATTCGGAGCAACCCCGACCTTCGCTTCGTGAAGCGGAGGAGCTCGTCCCCGATCAAGCGGCGCCGCTCCGGCAGCGTCGACCCACTGACGAGGCTCGAGACCCTGGCGGTCCGGTACTGGGCGGCACTGTCCGATGCCCCCCTGCCGGGCATGCCGAGCCCCTCGGCGATCGGTGCCCACCGGGGCGGGGGAGCAACGGAAGCACCCCGGGGCTCCATCGAAGAACAGGCGTCGGACACAAAGGATACCCGAAGCACGGAAACAACACAAGAGATCCGGTGGGGGACACCGGAAAGGCCCAGCGTTGCCCAGCCGCCACCGGAACCGTCGGCCAATGCTGCCGAAGTACCCGAAGAAWCCYCGACACCATTGGGAGTTCCCGGCAAACCTAACGATCCCRCTCAATCCCCGAATGCAAAAGAAAGCCAAGATCCGGTTAACGATATCTCCGCAAAGCCCCCGWCGGAACCCATGGATTCTGCTGCTGCCTCCGAAAACGAATCTCTCGAGCCACCGCCGATCGAAGCTTCCCAAAAGAACGCTTCAAACCGTACTGTGGAATCTGGTTCCGCTCCGATGGAAGAGGATTTGGAAGATTGCAACCCTACAACCTCGCTAATCGAAGCTTCCCAAAAGGATGGTTCGAACCGTGCCGTGGAATCTGGGTCCACTCAGATGGACAAAGAGGATTTGCAAGATCACAACCCGGCAAACTCGCCAATCGAAGCTTCCGAAAGGGATGGTTCAAAAAATGCCATTGGATCTGGTTCCGTCCCGATGGAAGAGGATTTGGCAGACRGTATGCCGACGAATTCCACCAATGACCACGAGCCCGTTTCTGGTTCTCCGGAAGCAACGCTAGCAGCYACGGAAGGAGATTATTCGAAATCGAGCTTTGCCACCCAGGAAACCGAAAACGTTCCGCTCGAGAAGGAAAGAACGGCGTCGGTCGCAAAACCCTTCGTCGAAGACTTCCCGGTGGCACCGAATCCGTCGCTCTTTCAGTGCGCCGCCAAAATCGCCGAGCTCCACGCCCGGCAGAGGAARAACAAGCAAGCCAAGACCGGTGTCAAAGCCAACAGGCCGCGCGCTAAWCCCCTGGGGGAACCCGCTGCGAATGTCGGCTTTGCCAGCCCGAAACCGGCCAGAGCCGATCGCTGCCACGACACGGGGTTCTTTTCTCCGATGCACGAGCCGCGCATGCAGGCCTCCGAGGAATTTGCCACACCAAAACAGTACAACGGGAGCCTCTCTTCGCCCGACAAGGAGAACGGGAGGCCCGAGTTTGCCCGCGACGACGATAACGACAACGACAACGACAACGACCGCCACTCATACTCGGGAGAAGACCAGCACGGTTGGTTGACCCAGCCCGCCTTCGAGGGCAACGAYGGGGGCGACACCGAAACCGGGGAGGACGACTGTTCCATCGATACCATGGAACGCCCGGCCAGGTTCGACCTGAACTCCACGGATTTGCTGACGCAAGGCGACGAGAGCAACGACGGCGAAAACTGGTTCGACCGAACCATATTCTCGTAGACAAATGATACCATAAGCCCACTGCAAGGGGTGTGTAAAAAAATGCTATTATTATCATCAAAGCTTAGCTTCAAACGAATCCAAGGCCCAAAGCACCGGTCTTGGTCTCGGCGGACTATACGTGTAACAGCACGGTGGAAGCCGAACGGCGATGGTGTTGTGGRCGCGTCGGCAAACAACCGYGCTAGGCCCTCCGTTCCCCCTTCTGGGCCCGTTTTCTCCGGGCTTCCTTCAGGTCCGCCTTGCTGGCCTTTTGCTCCTTTGTTTTCTTTCGCTCCTCCGCCTTGGTCGTTTTGTTCGCGTTCCTCATCTCCTTGGTCTTTTCCGCGTGTGCCGCCCGGGCCAGGTCCTTGTTCGAAACCGCCCCCGATGCCTTTGCTTTCCCCTTGCCGCCCCCGCCGGAAGCGGCCGGGCCGGAAGCGGCCTCGTCCTCGGCCGGTTCGTCGTAGCCGTACTGCTGCATCAGYCGGCGCTTGGTTTCCTCGTCGACGTGCGAGGACTTCTTTTTCTCTTCCTTCTCGACAYCGGCCTTCTCTTTTTCCTCCAGCTTGGCCCTGGCGAGGTCCTCCTCCATCTTCGTCTTSGTCTCCCTCAGGTGCTGCTCCCTCGCTTCCCTGCGGAGCCCCGCATCGAGCTTGTTGGCCTCCGCGATCTTTTCGAGCAGGTCGATCCAGGCGGCCTCGTCGTCGGAATGGGTCTCGCTCGAGGCCTGCAGGACTCCCAGGACGACGTCCCTCAGGGCGTCCCCGTCGTCGTCGTCGTCCGAGTCCAAAGCTCCGTCCTCGTCGTCGCCCCAGACGTACGGGCCGTACATGTCCACGTCGAGGCCCAGCGCGGGCAGCCGCTCCCGCAGCAGGCGGTGGAGGTTGGGGCGGTGGGGGTGATCCTCGGGGCYTGGTTCCGTCATTCTGGCTTGGCTCGGATTGGATTGGATTGCCTTGCTTTGGATTGCTTTGCTTTGCTTTGCCTTGCTTTGCTTTTCCGTCGGCGGTTCGGTTCTGGCGATGGTTTGTCGGGTTTGTTACACTCGTGACCCACGATTTTCCGAGGCTATTGCGGTACGAATCTGCTCGTGGTCAAAATGCTAATGCTTGCTACTCACTCAAACTAAGGTTTTGGATTTATTGTTATTGTCTAGTCGTTCGGGTCAAATTTTCTCGAAAACCTGGAATTTAGGACTAAACCTGCTCCTACGGAACGACGCGAAACTCTTGACCAAGAAACAACGCAAAACGTCATTTGGGTCCGTTTTGGAAGATTCGTTGCCTTCCCCCGTCGTCGTCGTCGTCGTCGTCGTCGTCGTCTGCCTTCCGTCGAGAAAAAAAAAATCACGGTCCGACGGAGCACGCACCCACAACACAACACACCATCGAAGCACCGAGCGGCAGCGATGAAACTTCTTTCGCTCTTGCAAATCTCCGTGCTGCCGAKCCTCTTCGGAAGGTCGTTCGCATTCATGCCGACACAGAAGAAACAGGCCAGCAGAGGCGCCAGGGGTTCCACGGCGARGGGATCGACCGCCGATGGCATCGATGCGGCGGCCCTGCCGTCGCTGATCGTCTTCGACCTCGACAACACGCTCTGGACGCCGGAATTGTACCAGCTGCGAAAGCTCCAGAGGAACAACCAGTTCCCCGTGGCCAACAGGGACGTGAAACTCTTCCCGGCGGCGCTGGAGATTCTCAAGCAAWCCAAGCTGAGCGSTTCCAATTCCACCTTTGCCAACACCAAGTTCGCCATTGCGTCCCGGACCAAATCGGGGGAGTGGGCCCACGACCTCCTCGACCAGTTYGGCATCCGGGAGATCTTCGACTACGTCGAGATTTTCTCCGGGGACAAGAAACGCCACTTTWCCAACCTGAAACGAGATTCCGGCATCGACTTTGGGGACATGCTGTTTTTCGACGACAACCGGGACGGGAARTACGGGAACTGCGAACCGGTGGCCTCCCTCGGGGTGCTTTCGGTCCACTGCCCCAACGGCATCTACGAGGAATCCGTGTGGACGACCGCGCTCCAGCGGTACCGAGAATGGTCCACGGAGGGCGGCAGGGCCCCGAACACCATCGTCGAGTGGGACGGGACGGTCACCACCGGCCGGCCGGCGGCTTCCGCCGATCCGASCAAGCGGTTCAAGGGCACCGTCAAGTACGTCAATCGCGAAAAACGATTCGGGTTCATTCGGTACGGGGGCCGCAACACGAGGGACATGTTTTTCCATTTTAGCGCCCTGCCGACCGCCGGGGCGTCCGTCGAGGAGGGGGACGAGCTGACCTTTTCGGTGGTCAACGACGCGAGAAAGGGAAAGGACGCCGCCGCGGACATCGAGCTGGCAAAGAACAACGGCGGAAGCGCCGGTGGCGGTGCCGATGTCGTCGACAYRAGGGTCTTCAGCATGAACCTGCCCTTTGCCGCGCTCCTGAGCAACGGGTACAAGACGCTGGAGACCCGCAACGGGACCATGTTCGTGCCCTACGAGGAGGGCACCAAGATGCTCCTCCACGTCGGACAGCGCACCTACCCGGACGGAAACCGGCACCTGGACGTGATGAAGAGCGGGGGCCTCGGGGACGACGAGATCGCCGCCCTCAAGTCCCTGCCCAAGGGATTCGGAAAAGGCATGGCCGTGGCCATCGTGGAGCTGGGAAAGACCTACGAAACGACCCTGGAGGAGCGCTGCGACCCGGACTTCCAGCGGTCCGTCGGGGCCTTTGGTGCGGACAGCGGCATGAGGGCCACCGAGATCAAGCGGGTGGAGTACCTGAAGCGCGGCGTCAGGGTGTCCGGCAAAGGCGGGGTCTTCAAGGCAAAGGTTCCCAGGGACGTCTTCCCGGACGGATGGCTGGACGACACATGAGGGGAAGCAGGGGAGTAACATTACTACTAGCTACTGTATACGCTACGCCAAATAGAAAGAACCCGCACCTTTTGCACCGGGCGTGCCGATCGCTTTTCGCGATGGCTTGTTCCTTTTTCATTTGTTTCGAATGCAACTATTCGCTCGTGGTACACTACACTGTGGCATTTTGTTCTGGCTTATCTCTGCCTCCCNCTCTCATTCGGTTTTCCGTCCTCCATCCGATGGCGGCAAGACAAATACTCGAAAGTCAAAGAAGCGTATCACGATGAGACTTAATTTTTTTAAGAGGTTATTCTCCTATCTCTGGACAGACTATAGGGGGACTGCTTTGAATATCGGCGTCGGCCCAGTACGAAGCAGTGTTGAAACGGCTCGTTGCGTCTTGGATATCGATTRCATTTGCACCAGCAACAGTCAAGCTTATTCTCAGGCCATACAAACCGAATCTGTTTTCGGGAACGAGCTTCAGATGGTTTCGAAAGGCCGCGATGGACTCGGTATATCGCCCCATAATGCGCAGCAGAGTTCCTTCGCACAGCGCTACGCTCGTATACCACGACGGTGGTTCGGTGTAGGCCCAACCTTCCTGTTCGATCCGGGCCTCTCGAAAGAGCTGAAGGATMGATTGGGTGTCTGGCWCTATTGTTGTTYGGCTTTGGCGGTAGTATTCGATACCGGCAGAAAGGGTAAGATTTGCGACCGCCACCATTCCACGAAACGAAGGATCAACTTTCGGAATCACATCGCGCAGAGAACGCAAATGRTGCATCGCTTGCGAYAGTCTTTCGCTATCATCAGAATCAATACTGTTACCACCAGAAGCATTGTTCCATAGTGAGGCAACGCCCTTGCTATAGTGCCCAAGAACGATCGCATACGGCCACACTGGTTTCTCTGTCTCACCAGCCCGAAGAAGATGTTCTTGACTACCACTAACGTTGGCAGCAATATCATCGCTATCGTCTAGAATCGATGCATAATCACCGAATCTCAACCGAATCGTTCTCCAAATGTGCCATCCCTCTTCGGTTCCTGGGCCGTCGGGTTTGGTCRGGTCGTTTCGATAGTGGTCYCGCAGCAAATCCGCGTACCGATAGGCGGTCTTGCGTTCTCCGCTTAGTTGCGCTGAGTGAACTAGGAAGGCGGTGTTGTGAGCAGGCCCATACGGAACCAATCCATGGCGAATGTAGGCCTCGTCCGACTCGTGGGCGACCACGTTCGAAGCTACCGCATCATGGTATCTGCCGATCCGCAGGTATGTGTGGGATGGCATGTGCTGGAGATGCTGGGCTTCCGTCGCATGGGATCCGATTGCCAGGCGATCCGCGACGACTCCGGCCTTGCGCACGGGAATGTTTTTGCTTGGCTCGGTGATGTGAATGTATAGGTGCTGGCACAAAGGGTGATCAGGGGACTCCTCTAAGCAATCTTCCAGCAAAGAAATAGCGTATGCAATCCCCGGTTCGGGCGTTTGCTGGTCATYGTCCTGGTAGAAATGGTAGCCATCGTTGTCGGAATGCAATATCATGATAGAGTCGGCGAGAAAGCCCATGRCATCMGAGTCGCCCTTCCCCTCTTTCAAAACSATTGTCTCATGYAAGACTTTCAGCCTTTTACTGTACGATTCAAACCCAATTGTTTGGTTTGTGAAGGATGGACGGAATCGAAGATACATAGCATCAATCAAGCCAAGTTCCTTGAGAGAAAGAGTTTGATAATACCTATTGCGTAATTTTTTGTGTGCCTGCTCATAAGCGATTCTAGCTGCCTCCGCAGCATTTTCGTATTGAGATTGTTCTGCTATTATCGGATGATTGATATATGGAGAATATCCCATTGAAAGTATCCAATGGCACATAGGACAGTAGAAATCAAGGCCGCAATTAGCCGACGATGACAGAGAAATCGATTCGGCTAGCAATTTTGATATTGTGTTGCGCGCCTCAAAAAAGGCAAAGCCGTAGCATTCCAACAGAGCAACGTCAAACATTTGTTGAATACGGGCTCTGCTATCGCGGTTGATAGCATTGCAGGAAGAGCTTGCAAAACCAAAAGTGATTGGCATGGAATAATTCCCAAAAATTACATTGGGAGTCCAGTCACTTGTTCCGTGGTTGGTATTTTCATCGTTGCGAATGGTCAAAGCAATGGATTTTGTGTTGTCACTGCGACCGTGATCTACATCCTGTGTAATCCAGTTTGTAGCTGTTGTGATACCGAACCAACACATCTTCGATTGGTCGAGTTGACATCGTCGTTGGAATCGTAGAGRCAGTTGAAGGCATGCTCCCAGTAGAAATGTAGCAAGATAAAGTGTCTTTCCCCATTTTGCCACGAAACCCCATCTTCTATTCCTTCCAAATCCTTGGCGACTCGGATTTTTTACTTTGTCACACGGTCCACTAGACTCATCCGATGAGTCGTCGACTAAATCATAATTCGTTGATTGCATGGCGTCCTTCCTGTTCAATGAAACCGCCTTGGAAGATGATGGGTGTTGTKCTGCTCTTCACAAGAATCAGCGGAGGCAGGATAATTCTTTGTTGCTCGATCTACCGGTACAACTCCATTCAATAGTCAGCCCGTTCAGCACTTCCTGAAAATGCTTTTTTTCCTTTTTGTTTTGTTCTGTTGTTTTAGATTTCAAAAGTCAGTCGATCGAGTGAGTCGAACTTGAATTGAATTCCTCAATCACGATTGGTATTCAGCAATCAGCAAAATCCGGTTGATGCAAGACAAAACATCATTGATGAGCTTCTCTTTCCAGCCAAACGATGGGGATCGGAGATTTCATTATTCGTTGGATACGTAKATAGAGCCTTGCATWAGTACTACTGGCAGGTAAACTTACGAGGAAAGCAACAAGAGATGAAGAAAAACGGAACCTGCATTAATGTGATTGTCTCATTTTCGATCGAACCAGAGAGAAGCAATGGTGCAGAAGGAAATGAACCKAACGTGATAATGGTGAAAACGACACACTATTGTCGCAGAACCCCAACACTCTGAAGAGACCGATTTTGAGATACGTTACCTTCTTTCATGCCGGAACAAAGTATGATAGCGTATTTGTCATAGGCCTCCTCCGTTAGCTGTTTCCGTTTGGACAGCGACGACCCGTGCAGCAAATCCGTCACGGAGCATGCATGGTTCTGATTCTTTACCAATGGATGACAAGGATTGCAGTGAAGATGGCTATGCCAACCACTGCAGCGGCCTGATGAAAGAATGAATTACAGAACGCTCCGGGTGGAATGCAAACAAACGCTGATGACACGTCGGTAAAAGCAAGTTCCTTGCGTGTGTTTATAGGGCCACCAAGAACAAAAGGAACAACAAGACCCCAGGCTGGCATTTCTCGTCTTTTTTGGGCAGTTCATCACCGCCGAGGTAGGTTTTCACGCAAATGGTGCTGCGTTTCTGTGCCTTTGTTGCAAGGCTGTTTTCAAAGACTTGTACTGCTATGATACCACTATACGATGACTCTGGAGTAGATTTGGAAGTGACGAGAATTCACGCAAAGCATAGTTCATCTGAAGTTCGAGGTCACCCCTTGCTTGAAGATGTTTTATTCCATCAGAATCGCTACTCGGATCCAAATCTACAAGAGTCTGGAAATGTACGGTAGTACCGAGCTTATTTTTTGGGKGTGTGTGTGGCCTGCGTTTGTACAAATCAGAGCATCTTTGGTTCTKTCGACCGTCTGTATGCAGCTTTTTGGAAGTGACGAGAAATTACGCAAAGCATAGTTCATCTGAAGTTCGAGGTCACCCCTTGCTTGAAGATGATTTATTCCATCAGAATCGCTACTCGGATCCAAAATGTTTGCGATTTCCTCTGCTGTTTCTAAAGAAGAATCTATCTAGTATTATMAACATCGCATTCTTGCATTCATCAATGCATGAAAGCGACAACTTCTGACCACACCGTTCAATTTCGCCTTTCTCGATATATCTATCAGGTACTGGCAATTTTGCCCTGTGTAAGAGAGCAACGGTGTYTTAGGGAAATATCAAGGAGTAGTCGTTACTTTCAATACACTGATTGCCCAAATAGAGGTGATCCATAAATGGCAATCATTTTTCTCCTTCCTAGTATCAACGTCCTTTCCCGGCCATGATATGCTTCGACCACAGGATAACTTCAGGGACATAAATACCATTAGGCCATTTGTTCTTCATCTTGTACAATCTACTGATTGACAATTTCGTTGTATTATTTTTGTCGTAGGTGCTCTATAGCAATATCATTCAACCAAAACTGGACGGATCACGATCACGATCATGATCACGCATCGCGATCTGCCTCGTTTTCCTTTTCTTCTAACCGTTGCTTCTCTTTCATTTTCTTGGCCAGCAGCTTGACAAAGGCTGCCAGGTTGGGGTTCTTCTTCACGGCTTCTATCGTCAAACCGCCACCGAACTTGACCGCCGTCTGGCTCAGCTTGACGAACCGGTTGAATTTCGCGCTGTGCTCCGGGTACTCTTCCACGATCGGCCCTATTTCGTGGTTGCAGACGTTGAACCCCACAATGACCCGTTTCTTTCCGTCCGGGATCGATCGGACCGGGGCGCTGAAATGGGGCAGGTCTCCGTCGCACAGCGTTGCCCTGTTGTATCGGTACGGGACCTTAATCCAGTCGCACCCATCGCCACCGCCACCGGTTCCGTCCAGATCGAATTTCTCGATGGGACACTTGTAGCGGAACCTCTTGTAGTGGTCCAGGCCCCCCAGGTTGGCACAGAATTCGCCCCCCTTCATGTCCCTGGTCGGGGTCAGGTGCAGCGTCCCCCCGTACATTGGGGGGTAGATGACGTTGGTCCGGAACCGGAACATCTCGGCATAATCGATGTGGTATCGAACCGAGTCCCCGACGCCGGACGCGATCACCCACACCGAAACACCGTGGACGTTGTCCCAGTCCCCCGCCAAGAGGTGGGCGCAGCGTTCCCTGAARAAGGCGCGGGTGACGCGAGCCGCCAGGTGTCGCCGGTCGTGCGCGGTGGTGTCGGGAGACCCGGGGTCTTGCGGGTCTCCCGCCGGGACGCGATCGATGTCCTCTTTTCTGACGTACTCGCCCCAGACCCCGGCCTCGACGGCGCTGCAGTACATGGCATCCGCCAGTTCGTCGGGGAGAACGTTTTCGACCACCGCCACCAGGCCCGGCGTCGATCGGGGCTGATCGAWTACCATCCGCCCCCTGCTCCCGTTGCAACCACTGGGAGTAAAGCCGTCGTCCCAATCGATRATCCTGTCGGTCGTTTCGAGTTTTTCCAAGAGCCGGGAACCATGGTCCCCATCGCTTGGTTTCGGATTCGTCATGCTTTGTGCTGCGGGTTGGAGTATCGCGCCATGCGAAAGGAATCGTTCGGTTGTACTGGTACTCGTGCCCTGCATCAAGGTACGGTATGTTGTGACCAGATTTTGAAACAAAAATGAGGAGACCACGAGCTGAGACCCTACCGGTAGTAACAGCATTGAAAATGCCAAGAAGTATGCTAGACGCGCAGTGTTTTACACCGATACGAATACGAACTCGTACCGGTACTCGTACTCGTACGTCGGCACGAGTTGAATTGACCAAGAAAATGACGAGTCCGGCGGGAATGGAGAATGGATAACCGCGGTACGTCCGTTATCGTACGGTACGGTGCGTATGTAGCGTATGGGACAAGTAAGAGCCCGAAAAATACGCATCGTAGCATACCAGGGTACCTTTCAAATAGTATAAACATACAGGAAAGATACATTCAAAAGAATTTTCGTTGATCCATCTATTCGAATGCGATGTTATCCCTTTGCTTGTTGCTTTGGCAAATGCAATACGAGTACCGTACTTCAAACGGGTGCGGAAGGAAAGAGTGTTATCGTAGCATGACAACAAATTTGTACTTGGATTGTTGAAGACTAGTAGAAGTAGTATTAGTAGTAGTGGAATTAGATTACTAGTAGTAGTACAGTACTAGAAATCGTGGTATTGTTGGAGCTCGTACTTTCGTAGGTTTCGTGTGTTTGGCATTGCTGGTGTTGGCATGCCTCCCTCACTGGATCCTCGTCACCTTGACGTCGAGCAAAAAACTCTCGTCCGGAACGTCCATTCGGTTTTCCATGACYCTCCGGATCCGCTGCTTTGGACCAAAGCCAACGGGGACGGGCCCCGGCGAGTTCTCGTCCAGGCCCTCGACGTAGGCCAGCGACGGCGGGATCACGATGCGGCGGATCCCACCGACGGCCATCCCCCGGATGCCCTCGTCGAGTCCCGCAATGGCGCGCTGTGGTTGAGATTGCGATTGCGAATGCGAATGCTGCTGCTTGGTTCTCCCCCCCACGACAAAAATAAAGGGGACACCGTCGTTGTTGGTGGAGGCATCGATGGTGTACCCGTTGGATCGCTTCAGGACCCACTGGATGTTGACGCGGTCTCCCTCCGCCACGGAGGGACCGCCCTCGGTCCCCATCCGCAGGTCCCGGTAGGTCACCCCGGACTCCAGCTCGACCACCGCCTCCCCGCGGGTCGGGTCGACGAGGTCCCCCGTGTACGGCGTGCCCGTGTAGGGAGACGAGCCCGAGGTCGCCATCGACGACGAGGACGA